CCCAAAACCCCAAAACCCCAAAACCCCAAAACCCCAAAACCCCTCAAGATTGGGATTATATTGAAATTATTGAGATTTTCGTGTAAGAATTTTGTACCTTTGTCATCCGAGAATAGGAGACATAAAAATACCTAATGAGGATGTTATAAGGCCAAAAATAAACATCAGAATCAGAACTATTATCAGAGTAAGAGCCCAAATATTACCTCAAAATCCTCTTGTGCACTTCATTCTCTTAACTATCGGAGTAAGGAATACAAAGTGGGGATAGATAAAGATGTCTCACCACAAATACAAAGTGACGGCCGCTCAGAGAGCTCTTGGTTTCGTTGCATACCTTTTGCCACATGCTGCGAAGGGGTTGAATCGATGGCCTAGTTCATACTCCTGCTCACAGATTATTCAGAACTGATGCTCTCATAATTCTCATTGACAAAAAGTGTTGCTTGATTTAACTTGACAAGTCACTGTTCATCTCGGGCACTGTGCTTCTCCTTCATAGCAAAGTCCAAGGTCTTGGCTGTTTATTCCAAAGTTGCTCTCGTCTAATGAGGCTGAAACGTTGCTATTTTTGTAAACTGCTACTGGGAGTTCTTGACCTATATCACATACTGAGAACGCCCGAGGAGAAATCTACATTCTATCACTTCCGGGTCAGGTTTTGGCTCAATGTATACACGAAGTAGATCAACTACGGAGAGATTGAGGACTCTAGGGTTATTACTACACAAACAAACCAAGGTTTTAAGGCTAAAACTGCCTCTCTGGCTTCACTGGGAACACATCTTTGTGCTTAGCTTACCTCACAGGCATGATAGGGTTAAAACCCAGAGCTTCGTCTAGCTTGACTGGAGGAGGTGCATTCCCTTTAAGTAAGTCGGCTAACCAGTTTTTTTTTATGTCATGCATACAGATAGGACATGCTGGGTTGAACCCTCTTATTTTCTGTGACTCACAGAAACTCCTGATTCATTCCCAGCAGAACATATCAGCGCATTCGAGGATGTACGGCGTGAGCAGGGGCTCAAGGCAGATCTGGCACTCTCTGGGAGCGTTCAGTGGCCAATTTTTTACCATTATATTTGTAGTAGTTTAAAATCAATAATTTGTTCCAGTAGAGGGGTTTTGGGGTTTTGGGGTTTTGGGGTTTTGGGG